TAACTAATTTGTTTAAGCGACATGTTCCTTTTAAAGATTTAGCTCTCCAGTATAAATCCCTAAAACCCTTATTTATTATTCATTTCACAAAATAATTGCAAATATGAAAGTTTTTTTACCTCTTCTTGAACATTCTAATTTCATAGCCTTAAACTGGGTACCTGAAAGTATTTCATTGAATTTGTGTAAAAGATTTTACTACTTCCTAAAAGATTCCGTGTGATATTCGATAGCATAAAAAACAATGTGCCGATACAGGGGTTCGATTTATTTACGAAACTAATCTGACCAGTTGCTGCATTCTTTGACACTAATTTTCAAGAAAATAAAACTTCTGTATTTCACTTAATTTGAGAGACACGTAGCTGAATATTAACATACGTTCATTATTTAATTACTCGCAATAAATTAAATTTTTGGAAGTAAATAACGTGTAAGTAAATTCATATGTAAAAATTTACCAATTGCCAGAAAGTAATTGTTCGTGCGTATTAAAATTCTTACAATAGGCAGTAAAACTATTCACACTCCCATATAAATTATAAATATGTAGATGTTAATGAAAGCGGTGTATATATTCTCCCACATGTAGATTTGATAAACTATTTATGAAACTACATCTATTCTGAATGTATCTGTTACAAATATACAAATGTAAGGCAAGATATAAAAACGAATAAAACAAGAACATGTAAAAGGTAACATTAATAAAAATGTCCATTAACGATGCATTTAGAATAAATTGTCTTGTAGTTAAGGGAAAAAATATATACTTTTCCGTTTCATGTTTCATGACTGTCATATTTATCCCTTAACCTTAAATTGAAGCATCAGATATTTTTATTTTCGTGAAATCATATAGATACACGTAATATGAATGGAATATATAACACTTCATTTGTGCTAATAATACTCCGAATTCATGCTTTATCGGTAACGTCGGATATTGACACTAAAATGGTAACAGGGCTACGTAGCTCTATGAACGTGGGACAGAAAAAAGCATTGGATGATAGGTGTATTGTATACCTAGTCGGTGGTTATATCGTATACAATGAAGGAATAATTAGAAAAAATGAAGAATAATGAATAAATAAATGATTATAAATTATGATCTACATGTTACTTAGGAAATCATTCTTTTAGAATTTCTTGTTTTTTTTCTACTGATTTTTACAAACACGAATAGTAATGTAATTCATCGTAAAGTCATATTGAATACGTTTTTCTGTTTAAAGATCAAGGATTTACGATCGCAGTGAGCAAATTCACTCAAGATAAAAAAAATCGCAATTACGGTCGTGAATGAAGTTAAATCACGACCATGATCGTAATTCGGCTATCATTTTGATAAGTCACCGTTAGTGATTTTGCACGCCATCTCTAGTAGAGATGAGGTTGCAGTAGAGTGAGAGGATAATACATGGAGTCAAAGACTTTTCTTTCTAATGGGGCTGTTGGTGGGAGATTCTCCTACGTCTGTGTGGAGGCATTGCATGCGTGCAGCATGGCAGCATTCCTTCTCCTCATCGCCCTCCAGTCGCTTTCTCCCCTCTCTGCGATATGCGAGCGAGAGAGGAATGACTCCATTGCTACTTCTGTCCTTCGGTCTCTTCATCCCTACTATAATACCGTGCAGTCTATTATACATGTCTCTATGGAAACTACATAGTGACAAATTATGTAACCACCTCTACACGCTATGTGTTCACATGGCCTGTGTTCACCTCAGTTCACCTGTTTGAGCAAATGCAGCCGGTTGCCTATGTAAGTTCCAAAAATAATTTATAGAAAAAACAATATACATATAATACATAGTAAGAAAATAGATTGTAGTAGGAGAACTATAGAACTTCTATTTACCTGGGAATTAACATTATGTCATGAAATTGATGTATGTATTTAACAATCTTAACCATAAACACTGTCAGATATGTATTTGTAGCAGGTATACTGCATGTTTTGATTACTGCGTATGGTATCCCTGGTTTATTAGTGTATTTTTCTGCATTTTATAATTTAAATTAAACCATCTTCACTGAATATAAATATCCACATGCTAATTTGATTTTATTGATGTGTATTTTGCCCGGCATAACTAAATAATATATGCATCGTGATTAATGGAGTGTCCGTGAGGGGTTACACGAAGAGTTGACGGCATCAATATTTTTATAGGTCTACATACAAAGGCCAATACTACCTCGAATATTGAGTTTAAAGTTTATCTGCGCATCATGAAGAGTTCAAGCCGGTGTATTTATGTATTGCTGAATGTTTCCATAATTATTTTGATTACTGCTTCCGAAGATGAAAACTATTTTGAAAATCTGTCGTAAGTATTGGAATAAATTTTTACTAATGAGAGGAAATGGTGTATTACCAGTAGAATACGTACTGTACTAATTTATAACATATTTAAATTTATAAACCACAAAAAAATAATTAGTAATGTTTAATAAAGTCATTCATGTAACTAGAATTATTGATAAAAAAAGTCAACTTGTGTTTACTTCTAAATTTCGAATTCCATAACAATTTGAAATGGACTAAACATTCACAGTCTAATTGTTAATGTTGTTGTTTAACCATATGATAAACATTTTTCTTATAGAGATTCGGAAGATATGGTGGATCCTCATTCGTTCTTTTATGATGAATACAGCAAGCTGACAGTTGAAGGAACAGAAGAAAACATACAAATGTATGTATAAATTATTTATATCTTATATTATTAAAACAATATAATTATAAATAGATAATTATAAATAGATGTTACATCTGAAGTGCTACATGTTTTATTACGTTATATAAAAATGCGTATTGAACTTTTTATATGTCTAATATGATCTCTCCTAAGTAATATATTTTGAATTATTATAAGTAAAACAAGTATTAACTTTTTCAGAAAAAATGCAGAAGGAGAAAATAATGAAATTAAAAACAAATGTAAATATGCTAAAGAAATGGATAACTTTGATAGCCATGAAGGAATTTTTTATAAGCGTCTTATTAGCTTACTGTTATCAAACATTAGAATAAAGGTGGTAGCAAGAATATTATTTATATTAGATATATTTATAAAATAAATACTTAGACTTATTATCAAGTATTTAAGTAAATATGTTTATATACATTTAAAAGTAAATCGAGTATTTTATTCTCTGAAAATAGGAAAAAAATGATATACTTACAGTAGGAATATTAGAAATTGAGGTGTCTCATTCACAAATGCAAGTCTTAGAAAATTTACACACTCAAAAAATTTCTTTACGAGAAGTTGATGAAATTTTGAGTAATGCAATAAGAAAACCCCAGTACAATGTGACTGAAGCTGTGCATTACTTTGATGTAATACTTAAAAACTTTAAAATGGCACTTAAGACCATAGAGGATCATGTAAGAGAGTTTTCATATGAACATTCTATCCCATCACAGTATTTGTGTATATTATATGCATTAATATCAATAATTCTTTATGATTTTCAATACTGTAGCCTGATGGAGCTATAATTATATTTGTAATGTTAATGGTTGGTGTAATGTTGAAAACGGTTACTTGGGGACGTAGATTTTCGATGTTTGTTATTATACAGATTCTATTTGTATTGAGTTTCTTTATGACCTGGTGGCAACTTATACAAGTAAGTAAACTTAATTACTGATAAAAGTTACAAAACTATAAAATCTTATACCTGAAATTTGATTGCATATTCTAAAAGGAGGCAGAAATTAAATCTTTTGCGGAACAAATGAAATTTGCAACTGTACCAATATCTTGTCAGCCAGACAAAATGAACATGTGGGATAAAATTGTTGCATTTGTAACGTGTAAGTACATTAATAAGTATTTGGTAAGACTATTGCTTTTGTTATATCCAGTGGTACTTTTACAGCCAATGAAGATTGTGAAAAGTATTACCGAGTGACAATGTCTAATCCAACATTAAAAATCACTCCTGCATATGCATTGTCTCACTTTGTGACTACAGTCATTCTACATCCAATTACGCACATGGGAACTGTTGTGTCTGGTTTTATAAACAATGCGACAGGTAGTTGTATAATCGTAATTATTGAAGACCTAAACAAATTTTTTTAAATTTTGTATTCTTTCAGATTCTTTACCATGGGCATATGCATGGTTGATTAGATGCATACTTTTCTCATGCGTAGGTTGTGTGATAATAGTAATACCATTCTGCTTGACTGGTGCATCTTTTAATTTAGGGTTAGGGCCATTATTAAGATTTGGAATTGATTGTCGAAGAAGAAATAGGCATGATAATTCCCTGGAATGTGAAAAGAAAAGAGAACCAGTACAAATAATTCTTCAGGTAATATATTGTTCATTGAGAATGAATGGCACGTTATTATTTTCTTATTTGTATGTGCAATTGTTTAGCAAAAATACTAAATGTAGAAATTTTTCAGGTACCAGGCTCGAACATACCGGCGATAACAAGTGTTCCAGTTACTGAGAAATCGAAAGGAATAGAAATCTGTAATACTGAAACTGAAAAGCAAAATAATGTCGAGAAAAGTAAATCTGAGAAAGGTTGCACAGATTTATCTTGTGGCGACACCATAACAAATACAGCATTTTGTAAACATAAAACTGAAAAATCTAATTGTAAAGAAGTGAATGAATACGAAACAAAGAAAAATGTCGGAAGTGGAGATAATTAACATTATTTATTTTGTTATATTTTTGTACTATTGTTACCTTATATGTATATAATAGCATTAGATAATATACGTTAAGTAACTAAATATTTTATACAAATTGACATTGTTGTTTTAAGTTCGAAACATGATAAGTTAACATTTATTTAATATATATATGCATCTGTGGTATTTGTTATGATGTTTTAAAATTACTGATTTCGTAACTTTTGCGTTATTAAATTTAATTACGCTTTTATTGTATACTAATTTTATCATTTGATACAGTGGTAGATGTTTTTTAAGTGCTTAATCATACAGTATTAAACAATTGATTTGTTTTAAATTACTATTCGTGTACCTGTAACTATGATATTTAAAAATATATTCTTTTGCAGAGTTGCCGTGTATAATTTCTTACGTGTCCCAATTTCCACTAATACATTGAATTGTCCTCTAAATAAGAAAACAAACGCGAATTTATTCTAGTAGTTGGCAAGCAAACAAGGCATTGGTGAACATCACGTCTGTGTTTTCATAATTACAAGCAATTTCAAGATTCAGTATTATTTTCACACTTTCTTACCCAGTTCCTTAAATCGTTTCTTCTAGGACTCATTTGATATGAGTGAGATACTTTTCTACTTTATAACTGGTTATTGGATGCATATTTTAAAAAGTATATAGAAAAGAATTTGCCACAAATTAATTAGGTTTATATTGTTACTTGAATGTTAATATTTCATAATAATACGCTAATATGAAAATTATCGACGTGCCAGCAACTTATAAGTTTGTCTAACAATGTTCTATGTAATCACGTTTTAACGGAGTCTTGTACATTTTCAAAAAACATTACAAGGTGTAAGATATTCTGCATCAAAGTTATTTATATTAATAAATGACAGAACTTATATTAAATGATAACCTAATTTGTTTAAAGTGGTAATTGAGGGAAGGAGAGGTAGATATGAGACCGTAAAACTGAGTTTAGATTTGCAGATAATCATGCTTATGCAAATTAGCATTCTCTTCTCTACATATAATGTATACCTACTTGTAGAGCAAGTTATCATTTCGTATGTACCTTGTCAACAATGCAGTTCAATCTCTAATCTGCTTGTTGGACAAATACATCTCGAATTAGAAGTGATCTTTAATAAAAATTAGATTGAATTATCCAGTTGAAGTTGCAGTGTTCACTGTAATGAACCATAACACAGCGTTCACTCATAAACGAACTTCCTTCTATATAATCCAATTACTGTGATTTCGAATCATTGCAATATAACTCATTATTAACAAAATACAGTTTCTATTTTGATTAAATATACATGATACACGAGTAATGATATTTAATTAAAATAATTAACAAAACATGACGATTTAAATTAAAAACAACGTCTGGCTCATCTTAGAACGTCCGCTTTTATATGTATAATTAATCGTTCACAAAAATATCATTAAATATTATAATAAGAAATGAACTATTAAATACATACTTTATTCTGTACACGTATAAAGAATATGAAAGATTTCAGAATGTTTTAATGAAATAGTCGGTTATTATGTATTTTTCTTAATTATTCTCAATAATTCTTATTAACTTGTGAACAACAGAAGCTTCAATTCGAACACTGGAAAATTTATTTATTTCCATAGAAAGGAATTCTTTTTTTACCTGTATCGCCTCTGTATGTCTACATTGCATGCTGTCCGAAATAAAGGGAGAGGGTCTGCCGATGCATCGTGAAGATCTAACGCTTCGCTACACGCGGGTTATTGGCTGGTTTAAAAAAAAAAAACGAGTCGCAGGAGTTGGGCAGCCAAAACATTTGAAATGGCTCGATCGGATGGAACAGCGGTGAGAGAACTTTTTCAAATTGTTCACAGGCCCATAAACGGCAGGCGTGTTTATAACTAAAAGAGAAGGATACGTATTTAGGGTAGGGGTTTGGGTTCATAGGACCACAGATGCATTACATGCTCGAGATGACGCCTAAGAGAGGCAAATGGTTGTATACGTAAATACCAACATGCACAGCCCCTTAGTTCTGCTTCCGCAAAACCACCGTTTCTCCTTCGTGCATTATACTTGCCCCAGAAAGTTTGCGCGTCTTTTCTGTACTCATTCGTTGGTGTAAACGTGAACGCCTCTGTGATTTTTTTCAAATGTCCGGATTTACAATTAGCCGGTTTGAATGTACACAGAATTCTCTTCATGGCGACGTATTACCGTCATTACATATAGTGACTCCAATTCACTTTGAAAATTTAATTAATTCTGTTCAAGTTGGTGTTCGCGTTTCTTTCATTGCGACAATGTTGCAAATTTTTACGGTATGTCTTTATTATTTCAAATTTACCAATTCCCCCTCGTCGATCTTTTAAATCAAATTAAAGTTTCACGAGTATGTTGATCAAAATTGCACGTTCAATGAAATTCTATTCCATTTCGTAATTTTCAGTGCATGTAGCCTTCGTGTTATTTCGATTTACCATTGACCGACACCGTTCTTGGATAACAAGAAACGCGAGAATGCCCAGGGGAACGGTACGAACGGAGTAAAATTTAAATCCTACCGCCACCTAATCTAAAACAGAACGAGGAACATAATAATGATCATACCAGGCTGAAGCGGGCGTAGTTAAGGGCACGAAGCCGAGAAAAAGGTGCTAGAACGGAGTAAAGCAATTGCCACCGTGTGGCGCGTAATTTCGCAAATTATCGCGGGAACTCTGCTTATCGCCACGGCTACAAGACTGTTCTTTCGGTTTTTTTTGTATTTCTAACTGCAACCATCGATCGCGTTACGAGCGTTAAACGTGCGTTCGGGAATACCTGTAAGGAGTCTGTAAACTTTTTGACGACTTCGCGGAGAACTTTACTGCATCGTGGCTTAATCTCGTTCCCCGTGGTGCCTACAGCCAGGCACGCTCGTGGACGCGCCAGCGAGCATCGAGGAGGCTATCAAAATAACGAACCTATCTCATTTCAAAGTGCCTTACTCGCGCCTGGCTGGGCTTAAAACGAACCGGGATCGGTCCCTGTGCACGTGCATACCCCTGGCCCTTTTCACCTGAAACCCAAACGGCCCTTACCCATCGCATCTGCTTCATTGATGTCTGTGGGTTCGCCATTAGTCGGCGGTAAGCCACGAAAAATTCGAAGAAGTTCGTACATGGCGTCACGGGAAAGGGGGGAGGGGCGGACGGGATGTGTGGTCATGGTCTTCCGGATAACTCCTCAGCATCCGCCGCAGCCGGAGTTCTTTAAAAACATTCCCCTCCGTTGCGTCTGAATACGATCAATCGACTCATCGATCCACGAATACACACCGTGTGTTCGACCGTAGAAATAACACAATGGTTCGCTGGTATCGATTCGTTCGTAGGCAGCCGTTCCTATCCGAAGTATACATCGTAGTTTCGATTTGTCTTGGACTTTTCCTTCACCTCCGTTCCTCCCGTCGACAATCGCGTCGGAGAAAGTTCGAGGATCGTCCCTATCGGGCCGGGGATATCTCCCAAGGAGATTTTTGGTAAACTTGCCGATAATTCATTTTAAGTGGTACATTACAATTGAAACTCTACAGGGAAGTTTTCCGCGGACCGGAAGACAAAAGTTCCGCGAGGCACTCCGAAGTCTTCGACAAAGTGAAATACATAATGCATGCCTGGTCGGAACATAATTAAGCGAGACAAAGGAGTGGGGGAAGCACCGGAAGTTTTAACCGATTTTACTTTATTCTTGTTCCTGGTACGATTCCAGCGGTATTTTCAAAAGCGGAGTCTCACATTTCAGATGTACAGCTGGTATATACATGTATACAGTAAATCCACGATGAATGTTCCAAGGTTCTTCGGAACAGAACATTAAATTTTTCCGAAATTAATCTGAAACAAATATTATTGGCTTCAGAATTCGAAGCTTTATCAATGTGCCAAACCTAATTGAAAAGTCAACGTTACACCTGGAGACTTCTCCTTGTCAGTGCCGAGGAGCTTTCGAACATTAATCGAGGATTTACTGTATATACATATAATGACCGAGCTTCGTCAGGACGTTGGAGTTAAATTAAGTCGTATTGATCGACGAAATATTTTCGGTCGTGAAATTCGCAGACGAAAAGAAATATGCTTGCGTTTTCCTACCAGTATTCACGTAACCTCAATCGGAACAACACAGGTTCTGCGCAAACGATCGGTGAACGGACACGCGACGATACTAATACCGGTTCTTGCGATGCTTTGATCGTTAGCCTGTAAATTTTCGTACCTCCGTGCTGGCTGACCGTGGATTCAGTAACTCATGAAAGGGTCTGGATATCGGGGAAATGGATGGCGGGTGTAACGATCGGTTACTGCCAGTAAACGTTTCGCTGTTCACCAGAATTGCTGAATGTAAACTGTCTATTACTGACAGCGGGGACCCGGTCGTGCACGTATTTGTCGAGTGCGTGCGTTTATTAGCAGTATGCATCGCCCCGAGACGGAGAGAACAGGAACAATACAGATTGTCCAGATGCTTCAATCACTCGTTCGTTCGTCTGCGCATGCAACCGATGTCGATTACTTCCGGTATGGAGAACTGCTTCGATTCTTTTTACGGTTCGCTTAAAGGGAGAAATTCTGACTGAACTAATTTTTTTTAATTCTTTTCCAATTTGTATTTATTAGTTTTCCATAATATCATGTTACAAATCTAGGATATGTGGTACGTATAGGTACACGTTGCGTGGAATAAAAAATACTAAAAGTTTCAATTCTTATGTATTGTGGTTAAAATAACACCGAACCAAGTATGCCATATCTCAAATTGTGTTGAGAAATAATGTTAATCCAGAGAAGGTTAGATAATATTCCCTGAAAAAAGTGGGTAGATTTTATTTTAACCACAATATATAAGGATGGAAAATTTTAGGGTGGTTTTATAGTTATGTGCCAGTGTATAACGTGGTTGAACATTGTTAAGGTCGATTCAATGAAATTGAATGTTTGTAAGTAAGACTGCCCCTGACTTT